GCTTCTGTTCAAAAACAACAAGGGCGCTTGTCGGCTTCTGCAGTAAAACGTGAACTCGTGATGCCTTGAAAGTGGACAAAACTGGCTTTTTTGACAAAACGTGTTTAGGGTTCAGATCATGCTATATGTGGAGAATAATGCACGGCAATCAGCTCATTTTTTTTAAAGTGGCGTTTATCGGTTTTTGCAAATGAACTCTTCATATATATATATATATATAGAAGATAGATAGATAGATAGATATGATGAAGGATGTTTAGATATTATACTTAAGCAGAAAATATTATTAAAAAAAATAAATAAATATAACTATTGGACGTTTTACAGCAGCAAAAAGTCTTTTTCTTCTAGGACTGAAAATGTGAATAAAAAAGAAATATATCCTGTAGGATGCCAAACGGTTGGAATCAGGAATCCAGTTTCAGAATGAAGCAGAGACCGCTGGTTACCTTCTGGAGTGTGAGAACTTATTGAGGCAGCAAGTGCTGGATATCCAGCTTTTACTGGATGGGAAATTCTACTTGGCTGATCAGCTCGTTCAAAGGTCAGAAAGTCATTCGCTGAACTTCATTATTAAAGAGAATAAATCGTTGAGGCATTCTCAAAATGAGCAATAGAAATAGTGACGCTTGCTTTACCTTCACTGGTTTTAAACCCTGAAATCTCTTTGGTCCTCAGGGTATCTAAGCTCCGTGATGACCTGTTGGCTTTGAGGACAGAGTGTTCAACCGTCTACAGCAAAGGACGCACACTGACCTCAGAACAGACCAAGATGATGATCTCTGGCATCACGCAGAGTTTGAACTCAAACTTTTCCCCAAACTTCAGTGCCGGACTGTCTCCTGCGCTCACTCACGGAGGCCTGGTCACATCGGGCGGCAGCCCTGCGATGAGCCCAGCCATGACGCCCAGCATGCAGCCTGCCGCGGTCCAGACTTACCTCAGCGGCAGAGGAGGAGGAGGTAAGCCCATGCTCAAATCCTCATTCCTGGATCCCAGCTTGACCGAGGATGAGGTTCATATGAAGTTTGTGCAGGATCTGCTTAGCTGGGTTGAGGAAATGCAGGTATGTTGAAGACTTTAGATTCCTTTAGTCCTTCACACTGTATTTATGTTTTACATTTTGGACAAACGATCTTGTTTTCTACGCTGTTTTAATCATTAAAAATGCAAAGCGTGATGATTTGAGTGATGATGCAAACCTTTTGAGCGAGGTTATCTGATGCTTTTGTCCTGATCTTTTTGTCTCTGAAAGGTTCAGCTTGATCAAGCAGAATGGGGATCTGATCTACCGAGTGTTGAATCAAATTTAGGGAATCATAAAGATTTTCACAAAGCCATCGAAGAATTCCAGATGAGCATTAAAGAAGCCAAAATGAGTGAGGTAATATACATCATTACATATTTTGATATTTTATTAAAAATATTTTTTATAAAAAAAAAACATCATTACAAACTCCTCATTATAAACCCAGACTGTTTAGAGTGCTAAATACAGTCTTATTCATACACAACTTAGAAATCCTCTGAAAAAAATTAAATTTAAACTGTTATTTGCTGAAAATCAGTGAAAAATCAAAAATCTAAATTGAGTTTGGATGAACTATTCCTTTAAATGATATGTATTCCAACAAGTAGTTGTCTTAAAAATATAAAGGCTAACGCGTCTGACTTACCCGTGTGACTCCCACAGATTCAGATGACCCAGCCACTGAAGCAGAGTTACTCTGAGAAGCTGAATAAGTTAGAAAGCCAGTACAGGAGGCTGCTGGTAAAGAAACTTTGTGAAGGTCTGCTTTTAGAGCCCACATTCTGTAAGAACTGTGCGTCTCAGTTTCTTGTGCTTTTGTGTTTTCAGAAATGCTCCAGTGAGAGGCAGAAACACCTGGACAGCCTGTATGATTTTGTGTCCCGCGCCACTCAGGAGCTGATCTGGCTCAATGAGAAGGAGGAAGAGGAAGTGGCTTTCGACTGGAGTGAGAGGAACAGTAACATTTCAAGGAAGAGGGATTATCATGCAGTAAGTCCTTTCAGCCCACATCAAACACATGTTGTATGGCCTCCTTTGGCCTTGACTCAGCTCTAGTTGGCCATTAGATGGATTAGCTGTGATAAATACTGTTTTGCTTTAAGGCTTTATTATAGCAATATGAAAATCCACCCATAGTAATTATTATGAATCCATCCGTTTTGCATTGCCTTCACTTGCCTTTGCATGTTAAGGTGCAGGTTTTTGGAAAGGAAGCTAGATATCTGTGCCAGGAGTGTCTTCATGAGCCCACATCTTTCCACAGGATCTCATGAGAGAACTGGATGACAAGGAGGAGGTGATCAAGTCAGTACAGGAGAAGGCAGAGAGCCTCCTTCAGGAGAACCATCCTGCCAGATTGACCATCGAGGTACAGCCTGGAATAACAGCACTACACTAGACTCTGTTAATGACCATTTAAAAGAAATATACTCAGCATTTTCCATATGAACTTGAAAATACGTCATGAAAGGTCATGGAACTCTGATTTAAGGAATCGCGCAGCCAAACATTCTGTCATCCTTTTTTACACTCATGTTGCTCCAAACCAGTTTGACTTATTTCTCAAAAGAATTTTAGTAGAATATTCACTTTGTTCTTTTCCATACAGTGAAATGGAGTGGGGCGGTTGCTGTCAAGCTCCGAAAAGTACCATAAAAGTATTAGGAAAGTAGTTAGGGTTAGGCAAACATATTGTACAGTACTTTCTAAGTCTTCTGAAGTCATTTGTTACTAATCTTTCCTTCTGTTCTGCGCATATTTGTGACCCTGGACCACAAAACCAGTCATACGGGTCAATTTCTCAAAATTGAGATTTATACATCATCTGAAAGCTGAATAAATAAGGTTTCCATTGATGTATGGTTTGTTAGGATAGGGCAATATTTGGCCGAGATACAACTATTTGAAAATCTGGAATCTGAAGGTGCAAAAGAATCAAAATATTGAAAAAATCACCTTTAAAGTTGTCCAAATGAAGTTCTTAGCAATGCATATTACTAATCAAAAATTAAGTTTTGATATATTTACGGTAGGAAATTTACAAAATATCTTCATGGAACATGATCTTTACTTAATATCCTAAGGATTTTTGGCATAAAAGAAAAATCGATAATTTTGACCCACACAATGTTTTTTTGGCTATTGCTAGAAATATACCCCAGAGACTTAAGACTGGTTTTGTGGTCCAGGGTCACATTTAAACTTGCTATCATCATGGGCCATATTAGAATATAGAGCATCAATCATATGGACTACTTTATGAGATCTTCATGGTGCTTTTTTGGAGCTTGACCATTTACGTCCTCATTGAAGTTCATTGCTTGGAAAAGTGCAGTGTGAACATTTTGTTAAAATTCTTCTTTTTTTTTTTTGTCCCAAGGAAGAAAGAATTGAAATAAAATAGTAAAATAAAATAGATGTTCCCTCGAACTCCATGTTTCCATTTGTGCAATACGCAGGCATACAGAGCAGCCATGCAGACTCAGTGGAGCTGGATACTGCAGCTCTGTCACTGTGTGGAGCAACATCTGAAAGAGAACGCTGTCTACTTTGACGTGAGTGACACAGTTGTTTTCAGCATGACTTGTCACAGTTTATGTCAGACCTACAGGTATGCTGTTTCTCTCCTTACAGTTTTTCAGCGATGCCAAAGAGTCATTGGATTACCTTAAGAGCCTCCAAGATGCCATCCACAGAAAGTACAGCTGCGACCGAAGCAGCAGTTTACATCGCCTCGAGGATCTAATTCAAGAGTCCATGGTTAGTTCACATCCGCACAATCAAGTCATGCAATTATTTGTGACCCTGGAGCACAAAACCAGCCTTAAGTCGCTGGCGTATATTTGTAGCAATAGCCAAAAATACATTGTATGGGTCAAAATGATTGATTTTTCGTTTATGCCAAAAATCATTATGATATTAAGTAAAGATTATGTTCCATGAAGATATTTTGTAAATTTCCTACTGTAAATATATTAAAACTTAATTTTTGATTAGTAATATGCATTGCTAAGAACTTCATTTGAACAACTTTCTCTATTTTCTCAGTATTTAGATTTTTTGCACCCTCAGATTCCAGATTTTCAAATAGTTGTATCTCGACCAAATATTGTCCTATCCTAACAAAACCATACATCAATGGAAAGATTATTTATTCAGCTTTCAGATGATGTATAAATCTCAATTTCGAAAAATGGACCCTTATGACTGGTTTTGTGGTCCAGGGTCACATTTGGGGTTGGAGTATTGGGGGACTTAAAGAATTAAGTAATCAAAATGTAATTCATCCATGAGTATTTTTTGAAGTGTAGATGAATATGCATGACTGATGTTTCTTCACAGGATGAGAAAGAACAGCTCCTGAAATACAGCAGCACGGTGGGTGGATTAGTGGGACGGGCAAAGTCCGTTGTTCAGCTCAAAGCCCGCAACCCAGAGAATCCCATCAGGACCTCCATACCCGTCAAATCCATCTGTGACTACCGCCAGATAGAGGTACGTTCACCATACTGGAACTGCGGCCTGCATATTTACAGCAGCGTTTGCCATGATGAATTCTGTGACCCCTCTCTCTTCAGATCACCATTAGCAAAGAAGATGAGTGTGTTCTAGTGAGCAATTCTCACAGGGCAAAGTGGAAAGTGATCAGTCCATCTGGAAATGAGGCCATGGTGCCTTCAGTCTGCTTTAGTGTACCACCACCCAACAGGGAGGCCACTGAAATGGCAAGCAGGTGAGGACAATCTGGGAATTAATTTTAATGTTTTTTTCTTCTTCTGTACATCTGAGTGTAACAGATTATTAAAAAAGAAAAAATTAAAAGGCAGAGACCAAAGGTTTAAATGATATAATACTATGCTTCTTTATCTTTTTCTCTCACTCCACCAGGATCGAGCAGCTGTATCAGAATGCTCTGGCTCTGTGGCATCACTCTCACATTAACATGAAGAGCGTCGTGTCCTGGCACTATCTGATGACTGACATCCACGCCATCCGCAAAAGCACTGTTGCCTCGGTACAAATCTTCGTTTTGCGGCCCCTGAGACGAAAGTTGTTTTAAAACCTTGGGAGCTGATACAGTAGTATAATGTTAATTTCCCTCCCTAGATCAAGACCCTATTGCCAGGTGATCACGAGCAGGTGCTGAGCAGCCTGCAGTCCCACTTTGAGGACTTCCTGAGGGACAGCGATGAATCGGAGGTTTTCACGGTGGCTGATTGTGCCCAGCTGGAAAAGGAGGTTCTGGCGTGTAAGGAGTACTATGAGGAACTCCTCAAATCTGCAGAGAGAGGCAAGTTACTGTACACACACACACGTCCCCAGATACAACAATGGACAGCTATGACAGTAGCCAGTGGTGGGGGTAACGCATTCAGATTACTTTTTGGATTAAGTATCGGATTACTTTTGAATTTACTACAAAATATCTGAGTTACTTTTTCAAATGCAAGTTACTTTGTTTTCCCATTTATTCGCTGAGACCTCTCCTGACCCCTTGTTGAGAGAAATAAGGAGTGAGGTGCAGAGGCAGAGGCACTTCCTGCAGCCTGAGGCTTATTCATTTCATGTTTGGTGTGAAAGGGCCTTTACAGTTGCCAAAAATATAACTTTGTTATTTTTTTTTTGTTATTAAAGAACAAATAAGCAAGCCCAGCTCTGGTGACAAGATGTAACACAAAAGTAACGTAATGCATTACGTTGCGTAATTCAGTAACGCAGTTAGTTACTTTTTATGGAGCAACGCAATATTGCAATGCATTACTTTTAGATGTAACTTTCCCCAGCACTGACAATGGCCATATCAGGCAACAGAGAATTGTTTAACTATATTCAAATTAGCAGTTACTGGTGCCACCAGACATACAGTATAGCACACATGCTTAAGAAACACGTGTTCTCCTAAGCTTATTAAGTAGAAAGTTTATACTATAAGGAATGATGTTTTATCCATTCACAGGTCTCCTCCTCAACATTAGAGAAATTAGAGAGCAAGGGTTTGTGGGAATGCATTTCAATTTAATCTGGAAGTTTAACTATTGATCATTTGCAACGCACCTAATTCCATTATTTAATTACTATGTACACTTTAAATATATTTTTGTTTTTGTTCTTCAAACAAACGAGTTCACTGTCTGGCACCTGTAATGTAATAACGGAGTCCTGAAATATTGTCTGCCAGATTAATCGTCAACAAAACTGATCACAATTATATGCACATACACCAATGTTAAAGATTTATAAGCTTAGTTGTGTTGTCACTAGTTACATTTTCAGTATATTTTCTCCAAGAAACAGAAACAGGCAAACAAATGCACAAAAAACTACAGATTATTGTTTGGACATGGAGTCTCAATGATGTACTCATCTTGAATGTATTGCCCTCTGGTGGTCAACAGAAGAACATGAGGAGTCCGTGTACAACCTCTTCATATCTGAGGTGCGTAACTTCCGCATGCGGGTGGAGGGTCATGAGGAACAGCTGATTCGGAAAATACGTACCCCGCTAGACAGAGACGACCTGCAGGAGTGTGTGCTGCGCATCACCGAACAGGAGGTTTGATCTTCCGCTTCATTTTTGTTCTCCTTTATCTTCACATAATACTTTTAAAAATAAAAATAGTTAAATAATATATAAATAAATATAAAATATAATACGTTTTAGTGAGATAACCAATTTTTGGTACTAAGTTGGATCACCACTTCCAATGTAAAATCTGGACGCTGAAGCAAAATCGGTCCTTTCTCATTCATCCAGAAGAAGAAGGTAGAGCTGGATAGGTTGAAGGATGACCTAGAGTGCCTGAGAGAGAAGTGTGACGTTTTCCTCAGGCAAGCAGCTGCCTCTCCATCCGTCCCTACACTTTCCTCTGAGCTCAACATCCTCACTCAGAGCACGAACCAGGTCTACTCCATGTGCTGCATCTACCTGGAGAAGTGAGTATTAACTTTCTCCTCAAATGTGAGGTTTTTGAAAGAGTTAAGAAGGGTGTTATTAAATAAACAGTTGGAGACATGACCTAGTGGTTAGTAGATGTGCTGAGGTGCTCATGTAAGCATTGTGAATTGAACTGTGAATGACACTTCCCAGTCCTATTCTCCCCTCTTCTACACATCATCTTGTGTCTGCTCTCTGTTGTCCTTGTAAAATGTTCCCATTGTTAAACACTTCAAATTACCACTACCAGGCTAATGTAAATGTGTCTTTACATTTAGTTTTTATCTCTTGTTATGATCTGCACTAAAATATTTAATCAGCTGATTGCTATATAATCTGACTTGTTTGACTCAATCATCTTCACTCAGGCTGAAGACAGTGAGTTTGGTGGTGAAGCACAGTCAGAGTGCCGAAGCTCTGGTCAAACTTTATGAAGCTAAGTTGTGCGAGGAGGATACAATCAATGCTAATATCAAATCTATCGATGGCGTCATGAGCACTCTTAAGGTAATAAAATCTCATTGTAACTTTGAAAATGTTGTCTCGATGATGGTTCAGCCATTAAACATCTTTGACTTAACACTGATGGTAATTTTTAGCAATGGAGGTCTGAAATCGATGAAAGACGTGAGGTATTCCATGACTTGGAGGACGAGCTGCAGAAGGCACGAGTGGTCAGTGAGCGAATGTTCAAAACGCACAACGAGAGAGACTTTGATTTGGATTGGCACAAGGAGAAGGCCGACCAGCTCAAAGAACGATGGCAAAACATCCACTCTCAGATTGAAAACAGGTCATTAAGTTGATTCTTTCGCCCCTAGCTAATGCTGTGCTGCAGCGATAAGTGCGTTTCTCATTTATTTACCTTCATAATGTGTGATATATTGATTTTTCATGGTGTTTAGGCTCCGAGACCTGGAAGGCATCAGCAAGTCACTTAAGTACTACAAAGACACGTATAACAGCCTGGATGAATGGAGCGAAGAAATGGAAGCCAAGCAGCTCAAGGCCCAAGAGAATCAACCCGAGGATAGCAAGGCATTGGCTGAGTTCCTTAACCAGCAGAAAGTATGAAAAAAAAAAACCTAAGTTAAATCGTATTTATTCATATCATTTATTTGCACCAAATCCTAACATTGCCATTATTTCTAGGTTTTGGTCACAGAAATTGAACAAAAACAAAGCAAAATTGAGGAGTGCCAGAAGTATTCAGAGCAGTATGCAGTTGGAGTGAAAGTAAGACTAAATTATTGCTTTGAAATATTCTGACATAACAAAATATAAGGCACCATGGTAGACTGAGGTATGTGAATATTGTAGTGCTGTCAATTGATTAAAAAAAATAACTAATTAATCACACATTTTTCGGAAATGAATCGCGATTAATCCCACCTAACATTAACGTTTTTAAATGTACTTTTATATTGCAATAATTTCACATTCAATCTTCAAATTAATGAACAAACAACATAAAACAGTATATTTTTTAAATATTTGTTTAATGGCATCTTTTTTTATGACTATTTTAGTGTGATAGAATTATATATCAGCTTTATAATGTTTTTTATAGCTTACAACTAATTTCTTTTTAATGTTTTATTTGTAAACATTATTTTTAAACAAATACGTATGTCAAAAAAAAAATGAACTTTAAACAATCTTCACATAAACCCATTATAATAAATGTCATATTTACCTGTGCCCTTCAGCAGAAATATACAGAAATTGAAGTTATCAAACACTAAATTCTAAATTAAATATAGTTGAATCATTAAAACTTTTTAAAAATCTTTTTTTTTTCTTTATCCTTTGATTAATATACATCACAGCAGCTGGTTATTAGGTTGTTTTGGCTGTTATTTCTTTAAGAGCTGCCGCTGCTGAACGTGACGCGGATCTGACACGCATCATATTTTCTCTCAAATATTTTTACCTTTTCTGACCCACTTCAGGTCTTAAAGGGTCTACTAAAGAGCTGACGAGTTGAATCGGGTGTGTTAGATGAGGGAGACAGTGCTGGGCTGCTCCAGGACAGTTTTGTTTATTTCGCGCTTTGATATGAAAGGATACAGGCTACAGCGCGCGCCGGCACCTTTGTGCGTGCAATTGAAGAGGCGCTTGACTCGAGCCTGGCGCTGAAGTGAAGTGGAGCGGGCATCTGAAACGTCTCCTGTTCTCAGTCGTTCTGCGACTGAATAAATGCACTTCTTGTTAAGAGAAAAAGTGACAAGCAGCAGTTGTGAGTGGGGTGGCCAACTAATTTTAAAGCGGTTAACTGAAAAAAATGAATCACCTGCGTCAACGCGCTAATTTTGACACCACTAGAATATTGTAATCATTCAGTACCATACTGTCCCATAGTACCATTATTGTACTTTGCCCATTAGTAAGACTTCATCCCCAAAGAAAACAATAAAATAGATACTAAAATAGTAAAATGGCAATTAAGTATATGGTAAAATAAAGTTATTTAACTGAATAATATTTGTTCCTCATCTTTAAGGACTATGAACTGCAGTTGATGACTTACAGAGCCATGGTTGACTCTCAGCATAAGTCTCCAGTGAAGAGAAGGAAGATGCAGAGTTCCTCTGACGTCATCCAGCAAGAGGTACGAGAGGAAACAGGGATTTTTGTCATTTTGGCATTCATTTGAGTATTTGTGAGCATTTTTTGTTTGTTTCCCTCTTCAGTTTATGGACCTTCGAACACGTTACACAGCCCTGGTTACTCTGATGACGCAGTATGTTAAGTTTGCCGGTGAAACACTGAAGAGGGCGGAAGAGGATGAGGTAGGACATTTGTTGACTTATTCCTTAACGCTTCATCCAGTAGTGTTAATTAGCATTCGTATAGTAGGTGAAATGCTGTTATTGCATACTATTTAGCAAGACTGTGCTTCCAGCCATTTTTCATTCACCAGTGACACATCAGAACAACGACATACATACTAACAACATACACAAACACATGTTTATTAAACTTTGCTGGTGATTCCTGCAATACAAAATGTTCCTCAGTGCTTGGACATTTATTTTGATACAAAATAGCACATATGGCTGTATTTTGTATCACTGCTGGTGACCTTGTATCTTGGGAAAGCATGTCCTGGAAACATGCTGAAGAGTACATGCCAATACGTGGTGGTGGTGGTGGTATTTTTTCAAGCTTTTATTGGTAAGTGGGCAAGAACCGCCTTTTCTCCTCCAGGTGGTTGACTGGAAGATGACTGTGTCTTTCATTTCAGAGGAGGAAGTCATTGGAAAATGCAGAGTACTTGAGCTGGACTGAGAGCATAGAGCTGCAGAAATCTGCAAGTGAAGAGGAGATCGCCAGGCTTAGGCGTCAGGTACTGGACCTCGAGGCTTCGCTGTCTAACAGGCAACAGCAGCTGGACATCCTGGGGGCAGACCTTGAGATGCAGAAAAAGTCAATCGAGGACTTAACCTTACATAAGTCAAAAGCTGAGTATGAGGCTCAGAAATACCGTGTTGAACTAGAAGGTGTGATCAAAAGCAAGTGTTCCATGGAGCAAGAGTTGAATCGTGCTCGACAACAGGTTCAGCAGTCAGAGGCCAAACAGACCTCGCTGGAAGAGAGCCTCCGCAACCTTAAAAAAAGCATAGAGGAGAGCACATTAGCCCGTAAGAAGCTGGAAGATCATTTACGTCGCAAGGACAGTGATGTACAGGGCCTGGAGGAGCATAGTCGCACGTTAGAGCGAGAACTTAGGGCTAAGGAAGACGCCGAGGCAGAGCTTCTTAGCCAAGTGAGAATCATGGAAATGGATCTGGCCCACCAGTCAGAAGTCAGGATGATGCCAAGTGAATCCAGGTTGGGTTTCTCCAAAGAAGGTGCACAACTGGCATCTTTTAAAACCAGTTCTTCAATAATCCATTCTGAATCTGAGGCAGAAGTCCTACAGCGCAAAATGGAGGAGCTCATTATGGGAAAGAAGCGAGCTGAGACTGAAATCAAGTCCTTGAAATCCGAATTGAACTCAATTATTGTCCACAAAACTGTGGCTGAGGAGAAAGTTCAACGTTCCAAAGAACTCTTGGATGAAGCAAACAACAGGCTTTTGAAGCTACAAGTGGAAATGGATGCAGATAGGTCCAACATGAGACAGAAATCAGAGGAGTTGAGACAAGAAACTTCTGAACTAAAGAAGTCTGTCTATGTGTATCAAGAACAAATCAAGTCTCTCCAAAGAGACAAATCTGCTCTGGAGCAAAGAGTGCTGTTCCAGAAGACAGAGGTCGATGGCCTAAAAGACCAGCTCAAAGTCAATCAAGGAAAACTTCTACAGTGGACCTCTTTGGAACAGGAGAGCACTCATAAGTTGAGGTGCCTGGAAGACGAGTTGTCTTCCAAACAGTCTGAGGTAGAGCAGATGACATTCAAGGTGAATGAACTTAACAGAAAAAATCAATTATTGGAAAGTGATACCCGTCATCTTAAGGTAAGTATTGAGTCAATCCAGCAGGCCAAATCACATGCTGACCAAAAGATTAAAACCCTGAAAGGTGAGGCAGAGGTTTTGAAGGAGCAACTGCAGAGAGCCAAAGACGAAATCAATCTGAAGACCAGAACAGAGAAGGAGGCTCAACTCAAAATCAAAAACCTTGAACTAGAGCTTCAGAAATGTTCCTTGCAAGTGACCCAGCTTACCAAGAAAGTAGAAGAACTCAAGAAGATTAACATGGAGACTGAACGGTCCATTAAAAATGTGAAAGCTCAACTTGATAGAGCATCCATTGAGATTGACAGTAAGGAACAGCAAATTAATATACTCAGATCCCAGGCAGAAAGTGCAAAATCTCAGGTAAAAATTGTTGAAGAGGAACTTCTGAACAAAACACAGGTATCTCATGAGCTTCAAATCAGACTTAAAGATTACAACGAAGAAGCCAAAAAGACAGCCGAGCTGCAGCAGAAGATCAAGTCTCTCACGTTGACCATCACCAACTATGAAAAAGATATTTCAAATCTCAAAGCAGAGCTGAGTTCTATAACCACTGAGAGGAATCTAGCTAATCAGAAGGTTCAGGAACATAAAGTCGAGATAAATAACCTGAACATGGGGGCAGAAAGTGCAAAATCTCAGGTAAAAATTGTTGAAGAGGAACTTCTGAACAAAACACAGGTATCTCATGAGCTTCAAATCAGACTTAAAGATTACAACGAAGAAGCCAAAAAGACAGCCGAGCTGCAGCAGAAGATCAAGTCTCTCACGTTGACCATCACCAACTATGAAAAAGATATTTCAAAACCCTGAAAGGTGAGGCAGAGGTTTTGAAGGAGCAACTGCAGAGAGCCAAAGACGAAATCAATCTGAAGACCAGAACAGAGAAGGAGGCTCAACTCAAAATCAAAAACCTTGAACTAGAGCTTCAGAAATGTTCCTTGCAAGTGACCCAGCTTACCAAGAAAGTAGAAGAACTCAAGAAGATTAACATGGAGACTGAACGGTCCATTAAAAATGTGAAAGCTCAACTTGATAGAGCATCCATTGAGATTGACAGTAAGGAACAGCAAATTAATATACTCAGATCCCAGGCAGAAAGTGCAAAATCTCAGGTAAAAATTGTTGAAGAGGAACTTCTGAACAAAACACAGGTATCTCATGAGCTTCAAATCAGACTTAAAGATTACAACGAAGAAGCCAAAAAGACAGCCGAGCTGCAGCAGAAGATCAAGTCTCTCACGTTGACCATCACCAACTATGAAAAAGATATTTCAAATCTCAAAGCAGAGCTGAGTTCTATAACCACTGAGAGGAATCTGGCTAATCAGAAGGTTCAGGAACATAAAGTCGAGATAAATAACCTGAACATGGCTTTAAAAAAAGCCATAGGAGAATCTCAAAGGGAGTCATCTGAAGGTAAAAAGAGCTTGTCAAAAGTTCGAGAACTTGAAAATGAGCTTTTGAAATGTAAGCAGACAATTAGTAGGATCAGTGGAAGTTCAGAGAAGGCCACAGTAAGCCTGAAACAGGACATTTCATCCCTACAGAGGGATAAGCAAACAGCTGACCAGAAGTTACAGGTTTTAAAATGTGAATTTGATGATATTAGTTCCACTCTAAAAAGAACAAAAGATGAGCTACAGCGAGTGACTGAAGAAAACAGGTTAAGTCAGTCCAAACTCAAAGAGCTGGAGGCAGAACTCCAAAGGAAAAGCTCTGTTATGCGAGAAATGAGCTCAAGCGCAGATAAATCTGTACTGAATTTAAAACAAGAACTAGTCACTTTTCAGAAGGATAGGAATGCTGCAGAAGACAGAATCACAAGTTTAACTCTGCAGACGTCAGAGCTGAAGCAGAAGTTGAGACAAATCCAGGAAGAGCTTAAACAGAAGCAAAATCAAACAGCAGCTGCTGAGTTGAGATCACAGAAGCTTGCTGAACAATTGGACAACTGTAAAAAGATGCTTAACGATCTCAAAGGCAAACTCGACTTACAAAAGAAAGGCTATGAGACTCAACTGCAGCTAATGCAGGCTGAAATGGTGCAAAAGCTTTCGCTGCAGGAATCACGCTTAAAGTTGGAGCATGAGAGGAAATTAAAGGAGCACTCGCATACTGCGGAAAGTGCTGAGAGAGACAACAAGCACCTATCTCAAGAAGTGGAGAAGCTGAAAACATTAACTTCTAATGCAACAAAAGCAAAGCAAGAGGCTGAAGAACACCTCTGCAACGTACGCATGCAGTTGGATGAATCTGACAGGCAGAGGGGAATACTTGACCTTGAACTTCTCAAAGCAAAATCAAAGATTTCTGAGTTAGAAACGGAAAAAATCAGAGTGAAATCCAGTATTTTTCAACTTGACAATATTCACAAAGACAGCTCAAACGACATATCAAGGTTTAAGCAAATGTTGACAGAGACTGAGCAGAAATTGGGCATCTCAGAAAGGGAAGCAAGATCTCTAAAGGAACAGATTGTTTCATACATCAGTGAAATGAAGTCTCTACAGGAGAAGAATCTGAAGCTTGAGGTAGCAGTCAATTCTGAGAAGAAGCATCTAAAAGAATTGGAGGCACTCGGACATGCCAGTCATCAGTGTGCTAAAGATGAAGAGCTGGCAAAGCTAAAGACTGAACTTCAGCTGACTCAGAAAATTGTTGTGTCATATGAAGAAGCGAAAAGGAACATGGGGGAGGAACTCAAGAAAATGAAAATGAGCTCTGAGGTACGACTTCAAGTGTATTCGCAATTTTGTAAAACTGTAATTTCCTGATGTGTTTTAACAATGTGCAGAGACAGCTATAATTAAGCGTGCTCTCACACTTGGTTCCGTTGCTTGGTCCGAACCAGAGTTCAGTTAGTCCCCCTCTATTCTATGCACACCTGTTTTTTGTGGGTCAGAACCATGGCACGCTTGCGTCATCAAGGCGGCAGCTGTTTACACTTGTTAGGTAACGGCAACACTGGACAAAGCAAAAAAATAGATAGGGTTGCTTGCCTCACTTTTGTACTTTGGTCTGTTTACCATTAATGTTCTGCAAAAGTTCTAGAGAAGTCCGTTTCTGCTGGAGGCGAGCGATTTGACCAATCATAGCTCATTAGGGCTGTCAAAATGGCTGAAAAACTAAATTAGAATTTTTTACTTAAACATTATCAATATTCAAATTATATTCGAATTTATATTATAATTTCATAATAATTTCAGTTAGGCGGAAAAAAAGCTTTTGGCTTCTCTCCTGAGGCCACAAGAGGGCGCATCGAGCAAAATATTATGCACATTTCTTCAAAGCATAATAATAATAATAATAAAATAACACGACTGT